TGGTGTATGTGTTTTGTAATTTTGATAACATCTTGTACAGTCTTTGGAAATATAAAATATATAATCATAAGTTGCAGATTTGAAGAGTAAACAGTATTTAAATAATAATTTATGATTGCATTTATTTCGAATGAATTTTTCTTGTAATTTTAAAAACAATTTTATCTCATTTAGTTAACAGGAAGCTTAATTGGCATCACTGCTGGACCACTATTGGGACTGTTTACTTTAGGAATGTTATCCAAAAAGCCACTTGGAAGGTTAGCTGTAATTATTGTATTAAATGCACATGAGAAATATGTTGCCATTTTCCAAGTACGTTGTAAGCTGTTCAAATTCCTTTTCCAGCCGACAATTTCAAAAAATACTTTAAATCGTGTCTCTTGCTTTTATAAATCGAATCTTTTGAGTGTGTTTTTATTTGTAAGCAGCAAGCCTGTAAAATAATGTAGTATTCAAACAACATGAAACTATCAAGATTGTGAAGTAAATTACAAACATGATCAAAAATTTGTTATCAATAAACTAGCTATAGGGTACTGCAAGAAGTATTATTTTTAGTTGACTAATTTAACATGTATTCATCTAATTTGGCTTATTTTTCTTTGTATTTCCTTATACTTTTTAAAACAAATGTTGATTCCATTGGTTAATTAGCGCATTACGGTATTTTTTTAAATATGCAGCAATTTAGATCATATACTTATGCTTGAAGCTCATCATCTATTAGATTTTCTCATGGACACATTGCATTGACAAAACGTCTGGTCAAAAACGTTTCTAGATCATTTAATTAAAAATATACTGATGTTTGCAATATTATTTGTGTTACTTTCTATAATATGCATAATTTTATTTCCTCCCATTCTTTGACTTAATAATTAATAGATACGTTTTACTTTAATTTAGGAGCGTACATTGGTACTGTAAGCTCGCTAATATTTGTTGGATGGATTTACGTTGGTAGCATTTATTACCCTCCCATCAGTGAAAGACCTCCAGTATCAATTGATGGTTGCGATGTTGGAAATGTATTCAATGGTACAAATGGGTTGAGAAACAAAATTTCTCCTTTCAAAATATGACCGTATCTTACAGGTATGAATGATAAGTTTTTACGTAATAAATAGTTAAACTTGAAATTTGAAAGTAGTATGATGTATAATGTTATTGTTGGTTAAAAAACGTAAAATTATTTGAACCATTAAGATATTGCAAAATCTTTCCTACATGTCGGAAAGAACTAACTGCTTAGCTGCGTCTAACAAGCGATTAAGTAAAAAAAAGCGATTGGACATGACTTACATTGTGATTTAGTAGTATAAAACATAAAAAATATATGCTATCTTGTGTCATTAAACAAAAGAATACCGAATACTTTAAATGATAAAAGATGCTTAATATTGTCTTAAATCTTTTTCTTTTGCATTACTTCTTAATTTATATAACATACAAGTTTGCAGCATGTTTTACTGATAAAACTAAAAGCTTGCGATTGAAGTATTGTAATTTTGATACATTTATTTCTTTTATAAATGCAAATATGTATCGGACAAAATTAGGTGAGGAGAATGAGTCTGTGAAACACTGCTGACATTCTCATCCGAATCTTGCTATAGCTGGCTAAATGCTATGATGGTATCCATGTTTGTCAGAAAAAACTGATAAAATATAGTCATTTGGAAGAGATTTTACGTTCAGACAATACATTAACTGTCTGCTAGCTGTTTTTATCCTTTGATTTGTTCATAGCCTAAAATTTCCAAGCAAAGATTAGATAACTCTTATAATGAGCCTATATTTTGTATTTTCAACTTACCTCAAGTTGCATGTAGATTTTTATTAACACAAACAACGCCAAGAAAATAAAAGCGGAGTAATTGTTGCACAAAATATAAATCATAAATATGTGGGACATCTGTAATCGTTTTAATATTTTTGAGTCGCTATTAATTCCAGCAGCATCATAATAGAGCAATTGTTTACAGGAACTTCATGTCGGAATGAAAGTGTCTTTCTATAGTCTTAGCTAGTTTGTTTCCAATGTAAATTTTTTTTAATTTAATGAATGTAAAACAATCTTCTAACCCAAAGTTTAAACTCCATTGTTAGCTTCCACGTTTAAGCCACATATTCTTTCATTCATGCCAGCGTAAAAATGTTTGATTTATATAAATTCGTCTTATTTTAACAATTTTTTCTCTAAGAAACCCTTTGGCGAAGTTTTACGGGCTGTCCTTTTTCTACTACGGTGCTGTCGGCTTGTTTGTGACGATAATAATTGGCTACGTGTTCAGTGTTATCTTAGGTAAGTCATTAAGCAAATTATATTTTCCAACAGTGCTGGTTTTTGTCTTTCTCATAAATTGAAAAAGATTCATTTCTATGGTAAATCTCATTGTAAAATACTCAGCTGTTGTTTTTGAATATATTTTAAGCATTCGTCTTTGAGTATTTCGTTGTCCCGCGTAACGAGAGGTTCTCACATTGATGTAGAAGTCGATGTCATTTGAGTGCATGTGTGTACTGCAGAAATGTCAAGCAATGATAATAATATAATCATGAAGTAGTATTTAGAGTGGTATATGACAATGTTCTTACACATTTTTGATATTCACTAATTGCAGCAATCTGGGATGAAGAACAAGTTATCATGGATGATGATCTTTTGTTTGAGTTCCACAATCTATTTAAAAGGAAAACGGAGAAAATGATACCACGTGAATATGAAGAAAGCCTCGTAAAAACAAGCCGTCTTTAAGTATGATTGCATTTCAAGCACTCATTTAATGTTTAAAACAGAATGTAAAATTCCTTAATGGATGGTTGCATCAGTGCTATATGCAGCTAAGAATTGATCTTAATGCCGGGCTGCATTAGTCTAGAATATCAAGGATTGTTTGTAATGCTTTCAGAATTTATGGTAACACAATAGTTTTGTTTTAAGAAGTAAAAGGTAAGAAATTCTTTCTCTTGGAAAGATATTAGATTTTTTTTTATTTCTCACTTTTGTATCTCTATATATTTCTCGGGTAGTTTGCCAAGCATATGTTTTTGTATTATGTTGATTAATTGCTTATTTTGCAGCTGTCTTAGCTATTTTTAGTATGATAATTTGTAATTCTGTAATTGTTCCTTATGATTTATAGTGGTTATAAATTAACTGTAGTGGTCGACGTCTCATATGCTGTTTTATGGTCGTTATATAAATAGCCATAGAAATCACTTATGAAATGCATTCACGTATATTTCAAATATTAAAAGTACTAAAAACAATTTCTGTGTAATTACATAAAGCTAAAAACACATACATTTCTTACTTCAGGACAACAATATGACCAATATTATGAAACAACTAAACAATCCGCTATTCACTTATATTTCATTGCTATTTATAACACTTATCTTATTCAAGAAAATATTTCTTCGTGGTCAAACAATTTACTTTCTTACTTGAGAAAATTGACACAAATTAGCAATAAGGAAAAACTAACCGCGGACGATAAACATTCATGGTGACAGTGGACAGGAAACTAAAATCTTATATGGTTTTCAAATATACGCATGACAAGCAAAGCTTCTTACTAGAAAACCTTGCAATTTTTCTAATAGAAACAAAATAAAAATTTGTTTTCAAAATATTACATAAAAAGCTTACTATTGAAAGAAAAGTATCCCTTAATCATAGAAACAGGGCGAAACAGTGTTTAAGAATGTAAAATGAAAATCATTCAAGATTGTTGATAATATAATATAAGACAATAAAACCACCCACATTCTCAACGTCCTCCAATGAAAGACATTTCTATCCAATTAACAAATACCAACCTTGCCTCGTTGTCATACTAGTGTTGGTTGAACTTACTATCGCAGTTGAAAGTGTTCCCTTTTGTCAGCGAATTCCTACGTGGAGTCAGATTGCCTGCAGCCACTACCAATTCACACGGCGTAAACTTACCTTACTTGAACCATGCACGTTCATCAAATAAAACTCAGTTATTTTTTTTGTGTGTATAGACTACTAACCCAGAAGCTGGGCTTAATTCAACCATTTAACCTAACTATTGACTCTTGAGTTGCATGAGTTCCTAAACTTCCTATGTTCGGAATAAACGAAGTCACGCGCTCTCAAAAAGTCGACGGTAAATTTCCGCAATGAATATTTTCCATTTTTCATACTTTTGTTTTCATTTCACAAATTTCGAAACCTAAAACTATTGCCATTTTGAATGAAAATATTTTTTGTGTTAGTAATTATATCTTCAAAATTTTGTTTTTAAAAAGCTTATACATAGCCGATAAATAAACATGTGTTTGAATACGTATGAGCAGTCAATTCATACTTTCACAGCATGCAAGTATGCAGGGAAGTCTGAAATACATGAAACGAGGATAAAGATTTGATAATTCTTACTCACGGATGTTGTGAAGCAGCTCTTATGAGCTTTGTGAAAGTTTAATGATGAAATGACTTGCTTTGCACCACGGTTTGACGGCCAGACGGTTCTCTTGGACAGCCACATCGAACTTGATCACGTATACGCCGCTCGTTCATTTAACTCTCGAAAATTTGAGTTCTACTCAAATGTTGAAATCACATTACCTCAAATGGCAAACAAGCAACATCTTTGTTCTGTCATTAAGTAACATTAGGAAAATTACATTTAGTCTGTTTTAAATGCTTTCAAACATTCTTATAGCAGAACCATGATTTGGGCTCAATGGACTTTGTTCTTTTTGAATTTAAGTTGTTTTCTGAAGTCTGGTAGGTAGTATATTAAAATATGACGAATTTTTAATCCAGATAATCTTATGTGTGCTAACGTTTTGCACAATACATAGCTATAGCATTTTTTTAAAGAAAAATATAAGCTAAGTAATTAATCGTGATGATGGAAGCAAACTGCTTTAAATCCCCTGCGGTATTATTGCGCACATCAGCAAAAGGTGAGTAATTTGTATACGGAAGGGGGGGGGGACATGAAGCAAGGATCTAGTTCAAGGACATTTGAAGTTTTGTAGGAAGCTTTCTAGATATTCCAATGTTTAAACATCAAGTGACCTTTTCCATCGCTGTTGAAATTTACAATGGGGAAAAAACTTTACAATAAAGGGAAAGTGCATAAGATATGTTTAAAATCTGTTCATACTTATTGCTTCTTTTAGGTATTTTTAACGGCGCTTTAATCCGTAAGGCTTCCTTAACATGAAGAATTATTTTAATTGAAGATCAGCTAATATAGGACCTTTATTTTGACAATGGGCGAGGAAATTTTAATGCAACCTTTGTTTGTAGGGGATGATCGAATTTCATGAATCACAAGTATATCTTACACTTTTTCACAATTGAAAAGTTGCTTTTTTCCAAAAATAGTTCATTTACTAGTAGAAGACAAATTTTACAAAAAGTAGTTCTCTTCAAACCCCAAAACACTTATGAGTGTTGATTTTATAGAATACATAGATTCTCCTAAAAGTTGTAAACTGCTAAATCTTTAAGGCATGGTGCTTAGTATTTCTCTATAACTTTTTTTTAGAGCATTACGCAGACAGAATTACGAATTATTTTTAACGCTAGAAACATACTTTAGTGTTGAAATAGTGAATGTTAAAGACTAGTTTTAAACTCCAATAGTAAATACATTCAAGTGGTATACATTAAAGGAAAAACTTCATGCCAAATTAGATCCATAGCCACAAATAGAAACTTCAATGATACAAAACATGAATATTGGCTTTAGAAAGAGTATATTTAAAATGCCATTACCACAAATTTATGCACGCATGATGATATGTATGTAAAAAACCAGGGTCAAAACTTTTAATGTAGATTCATTTAAGAATATATTAAAGTTTTAAGAGGGAAAAACACCACTGTGAAAGTATAAGTTGGTATTTAAAACGTCTCTGTCAGTCATTTTTAGTGCAAAGTTTCCATGGGAACTTTGCAGTATTGTGGTGAGTGGCAATAATTCACACGAGTCAGCCATTTTTGTGGGAAGTTGCGAACTGTATAGTGAAATGTGTAGCAAGAGTGAAGTAAGGGAAATAGAATATTCCGAAATCCAAAAAAATTTGCTTTAACTATATCACTTTTCGTTAATGCTGGCACTTTTGACAAATATTTTAAAGATTTTGTAAGCTCGAGTTAATATAGAATGTGAAGAATATTGGTATTTAATTCGCCGTCTTGCCGTATTTGCCAAGTACTTGGCTAGCGCAGATTATTTAGCAAACTGCTCTGAACGTCTGGTCTAACTACACTCATACACTACGTCTTGGTGAATTGGTCTTTCACATATGACAGTAAAATTGAAAGTTGCGCACACATCTACCTCGGTAAGGAACATTTTACAAGTAATATAGTGCACTATTCTGTCATTGAAGAAAGCATTAGTTGTGGATTGCTTAAGAACAGTATAAGAAAGTCATATACGACTGTATGACTTTGTCGATTTTTATGTAATCACTGTGAAAGGGCAAATGCGAAATGAATGTTCATTCACGCAAACTTTCCAACTGGCCTTGTTCATACTGATGCAAATTGTACTACGCAAATATTTATCGAACATCGTTGCATTTTACTGCTCCAATCTCTGCTGGCTTGATGAGACACACACGGAGGTGTGACTACCATACGAAACTACTACTACTGCTTGGTGCCTTATTATTTAATTAGGTGGAATTTAGCACTAAAAAATATTGCAAACAAAGCATTTTGTTCTTCTGAACACATGAACTTCACATATGTATCAGAAGAATCAAAACATACAACATAATCGAAACAAAGAAAGTAAACCATGAGTTAATTCGTAATTTATATGTTGTATACTGCTTAGTAATAATAAAAGTTGTTAAATGAAGATATGATCTTCGCACTTTGCTGGACAATTTAAGCAATTGTCTCATGGACCTGAAAAATTCAGGTGACTCAACGGGATTCGAACCCATGATCTCTGCGGTGCCGGTGCAATGCTCTGACCAACTGAGCTATGAAGTCACACAGTGGAGAACAGGTCAATTTTGTTGGGCTCAGATCATATCTTCATTTAATTTCAAACACCGCACTGCCTTACGGTTGCCCGCAACGGCAACGTCGATCTCAAATCATTACACTGAAATTAAATTAATCACTCTAAATTCTAATTCATCACACTAAATTGAAATTCATCACACCAAATTCAAATTCATCACGCCAAATTCAAAATTTCGATTCGTGCTAGGCCCATATGTGATCAGTACTTTATGTTGCTTGTTATTTTATTGTTAAGTTAAATCTCTCGTTAATTTCAAAATGGCAAATTGTCATTCTTGCGATGCTCAAGTCGCACTTCGCGATAAATTTTGTAGTCAGTGCGGAATTAAATTGTGTTGTGACGTTGTAGCAATCAAGTACTACTTTAAACAAGGCTATAAGTACGACACGATAACAGAATTTTGGCGAAATTTCATGACGACCATATTTGTGCTCGAGCTTTGAAGAACCGCTTGAAAACATTTGGACTCTCTCGAAAATTGGGGGAATACATGAGTTGGAAGCAAGAGAAAGAATTATGCGCGAGCTTAGTGAACCAGGTTGTATGAGCGGATATCGGGAGTGTGGCATATTCTTAGCAGGGTTAGATTTATGATACAGAGGAAAAACGTTGTTAAATGAATTAGATCCTGAGGGTTGTGAAACAAAACGAGCTCATCGTTTAAGGCAGAGAGTTTATGTAAATCCGGGTCCCAATTTTTGTTGGCACTTGAATGAATATGACAAACTGAAACCGTTTGGTTTCCCGATTCATGGGTGTATCGATGGTTTCAGTCGTAATATGTTATGGCTGCATTTCACTAAGTCAAAAATAATTCACAAGCGATACTTAAACTTTTCTTAAACTTAGTCATGTCCTGCCATGGGTGCCCTAAAAAGTTACGAGCTGACCTGAGAACCGAAGATGGCCTTGTTATAGCTGCACAATGTTACTTTAGAAATTATGACCTGTCTCATGTATATTGTAGCGTGCCAAATCTCCTTATTATGTACCCGCTACGTAAGTGCGCTTACAAATTAACGTTTCTTTACGCAATCTTTGAGCAAGTTGTAGCTATTTGTCAAAAAAACAAACTGCTTAGCCTTTGATAAGCACTTCTCGAAATGAATTTCAGTTTAGCATTTTTTAAAACGCCAAGGCTGGATACTAAGCTTTCTTTAAACTAATTTTATTTGCCATGACTAGGAACATTTTTTCTAAGTAACTTTGCACTATCCTGGAATCCCTAGTTTTTATATG